AGGCTGCCTCGTGATGCGTGTTTTATCAGTAGCACATGTACACCGGGCAGCACCCCGTTTCTGTGTACGCTACTGCGGACGGATAGACGACCGGTACGGGATCAGTAGCTGTTGCACATCGGGCAGCACCCCGTTCTTGTGCACTACTGTAGGGGAGGGGACCGGGGCACACGACGGAGCAGCGCCTCCACCTGTCGTGCGCTCCGGTATGGTATAGCGCCGGACGGCAGTACCCGTTATACCGGCGTATACCGCAGCGGAGGTACCCGCTGCCGGGTGTCGTCGCTCGGTGCTCCGAGGTAAGACTGGGACGCTCGCGCTTGCTCCGGAGGGGCTTTTATACCCCTGGAGCCTGGGCGCGCGGGTGGAGGTGGCGGGGGTAGGCGCGGCGTTGCCACCTCCGCGTTGTCATGGTGACCGCGGTTCCGGTATGCGTGGAATGCGAGGAATGCGGCCACTTCCGGCCGCGCCTTCCACGTCACACCGGAATGCGAGGAATGCGGCCACCTCCGGCCGCGTCCTCCCGGCCATCCCCGTCACATCTGAGGAGCACCATCGCGCCCACCTTGATTCCCTCTTTCTCGCGGCACCATTTACTTCGCTGTTGGAGCGTATTAACATAATCTGATTGCCATAATTGCCAGAAAGTTTCTGTTATCTGCCGAATTAGTTGCCATCGAGAGAGTCGATTCTCATTGATGTGCAACAGCGAGGGCTCGGGTGGCATCGTGATCGCCGAGCCGATTAAGAAATGGCCTGGAGTAAGGGGCTCGAAATCATCGAGCGTGTCCGTAAGCGGCTCCAAGGGCCTGGAATTTAAACAAGCTTCGATTCGGGAGAGCAAGGTTGTGAACTCTTCGAAGGTGAGGAAGTGAGATCCGAGAACGCGTCGAATATGATGCTTGACGCTTCGCACGCCCGACTCCCACAAACCACCGAAATGAGGCGCGTGCGGCGGAATAAACTTCCAGAGAATGCCGTCAGAAGCGGTGCGATTTTGGAAGTCATTATCCGATAGCGCGGCTTGATAGGCGTTGCGTAGCTCTTTGTCGGCGCCGGCAAATGTCGTTCCGTTGTCGGAATACATCGTGCACGGCAGTCCGCGCCGCGAACAGAATCGCGTAAATGCGAGAAGAAAAGCCTGAGTCGAGTAATCGCTTAT